TTTCATAACCAAATTACTACATAAGATGCATGTATGCTTTCTCATACCAATAGGTTGACTAAAGAATGTAGCCTTAGCTGTGCAGTCAAAATCTCTAGCTGCTAACACTCCACCCCAACCTAGACTTCTCCAGATAGTCTGCCCATTTTGCTACACCTATAGGCCTGTCCTGTGATGTAGTAAAAGCAGCACAGACTGCATCCTCTGTCAGAAAGCAGATTATAAAAGAAACCAGAAGATTAGTCGCCTTTGTCTACACCTCTTTTCAAATGTATAAACTAAATCATTTTTCTTCTACTGGAATACTAATTGCTTGCAAATGGAAACATGACCCTACTGATTTTATTATAAAAATTGACACTGCCTTTTAACTGGGTCAAACAATTCTGGTATCTAGTTATACATTTTTTTCCCTTAAAGAGTATGCTAAACCTTGGTGTTTCTGACAAAAAGCTATCTTGGATTCCTGGATAACTTTTATTCTTTCTCGTTTTTAGCAGTTATCAATTAAAATTTTTTATTTAAAAATAATTGTGATTATCTCATCTTCTTTAGGACTACATTTCCTATTTTTCTTTTGAGCAATCCTCCTAGGTGTGAAATCATAATCTCATTGTGTAGGATTGCATTTCATACTAGCTGTAGTTTTTTCTTACTGGTTCTCTATAAAGAATTTACTCTAGCAGAATATACTATCCTAACTAGTATCCCTATATCCTAAATGTTAATCAGTAATATAATTTGTGAAGGTCTAGTACTGTGAAACTTTCCCATGAAATAGATATGGTCAAATAAATTTGGCAAATAATGATTACTGTATATTGAACATTGATATGTTAAAAATTAAAGCACTTTTATTTTGCTTAGCATTTCCCTAACTTTGCCATAGAGCATGTTCTTGATATGGATCACCTCTTGGCAATTCAGTGAAGAGAAAGTATTTCTGGAAATATTTCAGCTACTTATTTTCCCTAGTTTCTTCGTATTCCTCTACTGCTGCATTTAAGTTAAGCATTTCAAGTAGTTGGAAACCTTCAGTGATGGAGTAGAGACAGAAGACCAGTTAAATAATGGGTCATAGAAGCAAAAGGAACTATTGGTACCTTCTAAGCTAAGAGTTTAGGTACTGGACAAGCCAAAGATGTTTAGGTAGTTAACCAGTATTGTTCAGTTATCTCTATGCCCTTCTGAGCCTTTTCCTCTCTCAAATAACAGTGCATCAAAACAGAGAAACTCTTGAAATTTTTCTGTAAAACATTTTGTACTTTTTGTAGTTTTATCACTTGTTCCTAGGATAATTTGAGTACTGTTTTCCAAACTAAATTTGGTTCCCATATAATGAAAATAATTTTTATAAGAGGCCTAACATTATGTTTCAAATGCATGCATGCCACATTTATTTTTGTGCCCAACACAGTTATTATTAGGATTGAATGTTTGTGAACACAAAACATATAATTCTCAATAATTTTTAGCATTAAAAAAAAAAAAAAAACTACTTGGGACTCCCTGGCTCCCTGGTAGTGCAAGGGTTTAAAGCACAGAGCTTTGACTTTCCAAAACCACTGCAGCATGAGTTCTATCCCAGGCCAGGGAGCTGACCCACATGGCACAGAGACCTCTCCTATCTTGCCTGCTGCTCCCCTCAGCAGTGTATTTCAGGATTCACCTAGACTTAAAACTCTAAGGAATTTTAATCTGAAAGCAATTTTGAAATGATTTTGAAGTTTAATTATTGAGGGAAAAAATGTTTTGAATTCTGTTTTCTTGCCACACCCCTTCACAGTTTTATGGCTGTTGTGCCAGATTTTGGAATTTATCTTTGCATGAAATTTTGAAAGGCAAAGTTAGTTTTTTGCTTTAGTTCTTTTTGTCAATATGTAAAAAATTCATTGGTAGAATTTTTATCTTAAAAGAATCATAGCTTAAATCATTAATTTAAAAAGATTTTGTTTAGTGAGAAATCATTATACTGAACAGCCTACTACAAAGGTTAGAATTATGATACAACTTCATTTTTATTAACCTATTTCATATAATTTTTAAAAAACATTTGCTCAGAAAAAATTGTTTTCTAAATTTATCTAGTTAAAAGCACTTTGAACATTCATATTAATTATATATCTGTTTAGCTACTTAGATACTTGAAAGCTCTTAAATTTGTGTCTGAATTTGACTTTCACAATCATAATTATTGCATTTTATTAAACACAATGTATACTTATTGTCACTTGTCCAGTAAAATTTCACCATATAAAGCAATAGTTCTGTTATGTTCATAGTGCCTTGCAATATTTATTTTTAAATGAATATTCAGCTATTAATATCAACGACAGTGACCTATGACTGTAACTTGCCTATCATATGGTCACTAATCAAGCACAAGGGCAGAGGAATTAGAAGTAACTGAAGCATTGCCTTGTTTGTCCTAAATGTCAAAGCCAGAACTAAAACTGATTTTGGCTGAATATTGAGACTAAATCAAGGTTCACTGAATTCCTATTTTATGTCTGAGAAAATTTAATTGTAGGGAGATTACATAACTTACATAAAGCTATATACATAAAGCTAAATAAGTGGTAAAAGTGAAATTTGGCCCTGGTAGCTTAAACTCATAAAGTTGGCTGATTATAAAAAGAAAAAGCATATGTTGCCTTTGTCCCCTGCGCATACACAGATTTCCCAATTCTGCTCCTTTTCTCTCTTCCTTTAAGAAACGGTGGTATAGAGATTTATCCTACCTTTCCCTTCACAGAAATTAGTATTTTTTTCCCCCTAACTAGTGCATTGGATTATAACAGTATGAAACAGAGTATCTTCAGAGAGTTTTTCTTTTTATTGACTTGTGGAAATGTTCAAGCTCAGACAAATGAAACTGTCAGATTATCCCATGTTGATTTAAACTGCCTTTTAATTCAGTCATATTTGACATGAATAGACATGGTAATTGGAGAGTTAGTCTTTCAGAAATAAAATGGAATTCAAGATGTAAAGGTTAAAAGGTAAGATACTGGGGGAGCAAGCACCAGGGCCAAAAATTGAAGAACTTTTTGACTCTTAAAACTTTGCATAAGTTTATGTATTTCTGGAAACTCAGTTATAGTTACTTAAATTTTATTGCCAGTAAAGATAAAATTTGAAAACTCCCCTAAATGTCCAAAGGAAATGTTTGATATTTACAAAATCCTCATATACATAGATAAGTTTGTGTCATTTCAAAGAGAACAGGACTGTTTAATTCCAAGTTTTATTGAAATAGTTATAGAGTTACATGTAGTTATAAGATGTAACAAAGAGAAATGAGCCCCTCACATGGTTTGCACAAGTATTATCATTTTACAAAGCTGTGAAACAATTATTACAGCTAGTATGTTAGCACTGATACAATATGCCAATATTATTCAGATTTTTCCAGTTTTACTGGTATTAATTTGTATGTCTATGTAGTTAGTTAGATATCATCATATTACTTACAGGTTTGTCTATCCACAATCGCATTAATGGCACTGAACAGTTGGATCACAGCACGGATCCCTCATGTTGCTCTTTTTTAAATACACCCACCTGACTTGCCCTCTCCTTGTCCTCCTCCCTACCTCATTCCTAACACCTGGCAACCACGAATTTTTTACATTTTTAAAATTTTGTCATAAATGGAATCATACTGTTGTAACTTTTTTTTTAACATAAGTTTATTTTTACATCACTTTGTACATTTTTTTTTCCATCTCGATTGTAATCCCCATGGGTTTCCCATCACCAAATCACCCGTGTGCCATCACCATAATCCCATGCATTTCTCTCCCCCCCCCTGTTTGTTGTAACTTTTTTAATATGGACTTTTTTCACTCAACATAACCCCCAGATCTCATCCAAGTTGTCAGATATACGAGTGGCTAGTCCTTTTTTTGTTGTTGAATAGCATTCCTTGGTATGTATGCACCATAGTAAAAACAAACCATTCATACTCTAAAGAAAGACATCTGGAAATAGTAGATGCAGTAAACATTTGTTTGCAGGTGTTTGTGTGAACATGTTTATATTTCCTGAGGATTAATGCCAAGAGAACCTAGAATTTATGTTAGAAATTTTTTTTTAAGATTTATTTATTTATTCATACAGAACTGGGGTACAGGCCAGAGATGCAGAGGGTGAGAGGATTCACCAGGGACAGAGTGGGGAGCAGAACAGGCAGATCTATGAAGTACACTGCTGAGGGGAGCAGTGGGCGAGTCTGCATGCCATGTGGTCATCTCCGGGGATCGAACTCATGGGGAAGTGGCTTAGGCTTCTTAGTGCAGTGCTTTAACCCGCTGCACCACCAGAGAGGGCCTTATATTAAATACCAAATTTATTAACTCAGAATAGGTAGTAAGGCTAGTCATGAAATCTTCTGTTTTACATCTTTGACCTGAAGCCAAAAAAAGGAAACCAGACTTCTGACTGAGAGATTCATGTTTTTGTACTTTTTGGTAGGAGATTGGCACCAGAGACAATTTACATGTATCTTAGAAACAAAAATATAAGAACTTGTGTATAAATAAGAAATAAAGAGATAATTGTAAAATTTATTACTAGGCACAGTCTGCCATTAACTGACAGATGCGGCTGATCCATAGTCTTCATATATTTAGGTAGGTTTTTTTGTCTTTCTGATTTTAAAAATGACAAATAATTATGAAAATCCAAAATGTGTATTTAAAGAAGGTTGTAAACCTAATTACAGGAAATGTCTACCATTTCCTGTATAGCTCCTTCTTCTCTCTCTGTATAGTTTAGTATTTTAATTAATTTTTTAAATTTCTTAACATTATAGGTCTTCTTTTGTGAACTTTCCTTTTTTCTCCTTATTTTTACATTGATGAAATAGTGTTGAGGTTTATGGTTGTTAATGAATAAATATAAAACTTTTTTTTAGAGTAGTATTTTAATTGGAAATTTTAAAATTTAATATTGGCTGTTTAATTGACATTTTAAATTGTTTTTCTTGTTTTCTCAAGATATGCTGTGATAGCATTTGGATGTGCTAGCTGTCCAAAATTAACTTGTGGACGAGAAGGCTGTGGAACAGAATTTTGCTACCACTGTAAACAGATTTGGCACCCCAACCAGACCTGTGATGCTGCTCGACAGGAAAGAGCCCAGAGTTTGCGTCTGAGAACTATACGTTCTTCTTCTATTAGTTACAGCCAAGAGTCTGGAGCAGCAGGTATTTACATTTGACTTTTTCTAGTAAAATATTTGACACACACATTAATTTAAAAAATATGCAGTATTTAGTTGATGTTATCACCTGTATTTTCTTTAATTTTCAGGAGTATTTTATGTTAGCGTTTCTGTCCCAAAAGCACTCTTTCTTTCCTTTGGAGGATACCAGTATTGAGACTGAAAAGATTTTATTGTCAAAGGAAAAAAAAGGGAAGTATCATGGTGATCAATAGAATTTATAGCCAAATATGATCCAGAAATTTCTTATAAAGGTTTTAATAAAAAGCCTGGCAGTATCTTTAAGAAAGTACTAATTTTTAATATAGTGTGTTGAGATTATACTTCTAAATATCACAGAATTAATTAAGATTTAAAATGGTACTTAGTCTTGAAATATTTTTCACATACATATATTATGAAATAATTTTCATTTAATATTTCTTACCAATTTCAGAGTCAAGGATTCAAAATCACAACATTAGTTAGGAAGACATTAAGATCTTTGAAGTATCTTTGATTAGGAATTTAAACATTACCTGAGGATTGGTACATAAGCACTGTATGCATCTCATACATTTTAAAAATAAAAAGCATTCCTGAACCTCTTCACAGTCTTTGAATAAAAATTCAGTAAATATTATGCACTCAGAGTTTTCATTGTATATTACACTTAATCATTTTAAGAAAAAGTTTCCTTGCTGATGGGGAAAGGGAAAAACTTGGAAAAACAAAACTTAAGAAAGTATTTCCTTAGAAGCATGGTATTGAGATAGTCCTATGTTTTATGCTACTAGAAAAAGTTCTTATTCAACATTTAAAGTTGAATTTAAAATTAGACATTTGTAATTAAATACACTTTAAATTTAGCATTTACATACATACAGATTTTGAAACTTTGTTAGTGTTTCTTTTTCCTTTACTGAAGATTTGGGGTGAACTTAGCGGTATTAATAATAACTTGTAGGTGTGGATCCAGAATCAATTCCAAAAAGACTTGAATATCCCCTATGGTCATTGAGTAGTCAACTTGGAAATAATATTCCTCTTCTGTAAGGGGGGGATATATACTTACTGGTTACAGAATAGGCATATAGCACAAGAGAATGGACTTTGGAACTAGTCTGTTTGGATTTAAATCCAAATTAATCTCATGTGGCCCTGTTCAAGTTACTTATCTAAAAATGAAGTTACTAATAATACTTATGTCCATATGGTTTAAACATTTGCTGGCTCATAAGTGCTATGGCTATATGAAACACCCAAGTGAATGTAATCACCATGGGAGATGTATATTTATTTCAGTAGTGCTAACCTGGATGGCCTTATTGGTCACAGCTCTTTGGTCCTGATACTTTCACTTAAATTACCCCTTTAATGTCAATTTGATTTCTGGAAATGTCTGAAAGTTCCTTTGTAGTTGAGTCTAACAATTAGAGTATATCACGTTGAATCACTGGTTTGGGATGAATCTAAAGTAAGATGTGACTGGTCATGAGAATGAATTTAATATATACATACATAACTTTCAGAATAATTATGATGAACAAATTCTCAATTCAAGCCCAATATTAGCATTGTTGTAATAAATCTAACCTCCTGTGATGATTATTTTAAAAGTTAAACGTCTTTTGCAATTTTTCCATGTGCATTTAAAATTCTTAACAGTTCTTAAAATTTCAAGCACATACATTTTTACCGACAATGCTTCAAAAAATCAAAACTCTCAGTGATAATTTCCTTCAATACAGTCTAAGAAATTTAAAAACTTAAGTTTGTCTTCTCATTGACTTGTGAAAAGAAAAGGAAGGGTAGCTATCTAAAATGCTTTTATTTATGTCTGTTATTCCAAATATCTTGACATTCTTTACCTCTTACTACTTTAACACATTGAAAAAAACTGGTCACATTTTTCATTACATTGCTTGGTATAATAATAATTAGTTGGCTTTGCCTAATCAGTTGCCTGGAGATAAAGGAGTATGCGTACTTATATGGTACACTAAATAACTTGTACTACCTTTTTGTCTTTACAATTGTATCTACATAAAACTCAAGCTGGAGTTTATGAACTTGAAATTGTATTTTAAATGATTGACATATTTTTCATTTCTGTTACTGTATTTCCCCCTTAATGAAAAATATACTTAATTGGCTCCCCATCCTTACCTCAAACTATTATATCCTAATAAACAGTCACTGTTAACATTTTGTTGTTAAGACCTCACAGGTAGTCTATGTGTGGGAGGGGAGTAAAACAGATTTGGAAAACAGTGTTTCCAAATTTTGGTGTATTTTGAGATGTCATCATTATAAAAGCACACTTTTTTTGTCTAATTTAGTGGTTTAAGGAAAGGGACAAAGCAGAAAACAGCTTTTTCAAGATAATATAGAGTAAAAATAAACAGTTAAATATATAGATAAATATACAGAGAGTAAAAATAAACAGTTACAGCTATATATAAAGACATATCAGAAATACATTGCCATTAATGTTAATTGTTTAACATCTAACAGCATATGGAAAGGCTAAGAATGTATGGGAATGTTACCTTCAGTTTGATCTGAAAATTGCATGCACCAGAGTCAAAGCCTGAGTCTGTTTACTTGATCAACAAAATGGGATATTTCTTGCCTATATTCTGCAATGAGGAGACTTATCAATTCACATGCCACTTTTGCAGATAGTATTAGCATTCATTAATTTGGTGGATTAAATGTGATATTAACTATAAAAAGCTAGCTTTTCCTCACTTACAACCCAGTGATAAAAAAGTCTCCAATGTAGACTTTATGTTTTTTGGATCATTTTAAAATCACCACTTAATGGCCCTCCCTGGTGGCGCAGCCGGTTAAAGCACAGCACTGAGAATCTAAAGCCGCTTCCTCATTAGTTCAATTCCCGCCTGTCCCGGAGGTGACCACATGGCGTGGCAGACCTCTCCTGAGCCGCCCACTGCTCCCCTCAGCAGTGTACTTCCTCGATCTGCCTGTTCTGCTCCCTGCTCTGTCTCTGGTGAAGCCTCTCACCGCCCCTGAGCCTCTGGCCTGTACCCCAGTTCTGTATGCACAAAATAAAAAAAAAAAAAATCACCACTTACTAATATTTTTAATTTTTATGGTAAATTATAGTAATTATCTTTTGTTTTGGTCTGCCTGAATAGATTTATCATTTTGCTCAAAATTGTTTGATGCATTAAGACACTAAAAGTGAGCATTGACCATTTGTTAAATTAGTGCTTAGAAGAAGTGCTAAGGAATCCAGAATTCATTGCTCAAGCTCAGGTAAAATTTGACCATAAAACTTTTAGAAAGGAAAATAGAATATTGCTTAATGTTTATGATATAAGAAGTGGTACAAATACTTGAATTCAGTAACTTGTACTATATCTCCCTAATTGCTATGTATATAGGTGGCAAGTAATAACATTAAAATTATCACTAGTTGGTATTTAAATTAATGTCAAAGTTCAAAATAGTTGTATAATTTGAGATAAAAATCTGCAAGTGATTAGTAAAGTTCTGAACCACTTAATTTAACTTGATACCTTTGTATGTTGTAACCATATTACTATATAAGGAACATTTGAATAAATAAACAGAACAAGGATAACTAAAAAGTCATTAGTATAACCAAACATAGTAACTTTTTCCATCATTTTCCATCATTTATTATAATCATATAACCCTTCCTTAGTCTCTTACTCCTTCCCTTTTATACTGGGTGCTGATTCATTACAAGGGCCATCTGTCTATTTTATGAGCTTAAATACAACGGAAAGGCTGCTTTTCTAAAAATGTCTGTAATTGTTATTTTTAGTCAATGTTAGTCAGAAAGAAGCACTTTGTATATGATACTTCAGATCAATATCAAATTGTCACTTCGTATTAGTGTTTATTCACTAAAGGAATACAGAGTATCTACATTTTAAGTAGCTGCTTAAAAAATTCTAGAATATAACGTGCCACTTTGTGATAAGAGAAAAATTTTACATAATTCACAACTTATCTTGTCCTTGATTCCCTTCTATTATTTTGTGATTCTTTGTTTTCATTGTTTTGCTACTATTTTAAAGAATTGTTTATAATTTGAAGTTTTAATGTAAATATGTCCCCTTTCTCAGAAGGGAAGAGAAAATGCTTTCATATATACTGAATATGAAGGCTATAGCTATCAGACTGTATGGCTTTTTTGCAATGCTACAATTAATAATAAATTAAAATTATTATTTTTAGGCTAGTTTTATTAAACATGTCTCTATTTTCCTAATAGCTGATGATATAAAACCATGTCCACGATGTGCTGCTTATATAATAAAGATGAATGATGGGAGCTGTAATCACATGACCTGTGCAGTCTGTGGTTGTGAGTTTTGTTGGTTATGTATGAAGGAAATATCAGATTTACATTATCTAAGGTAAGCTTATAGAAGAAGCCATTTATATTTCTTCTATTTTAGTTACATAAATTTAAAAGCAACCAAATTATTGTGCTAATCATTTGGGATTAATAGCTATTCAAAACAGAAAGTGAAGATTTGCTTTTTGTTAAACTAGACACTATTATCTAATACCCTATATACTTACATTGGGTCATAAATATTTCCACTTACTTTCAGCCACACTGTTAGTTTATAACACAATCAATAATTACATGGCTAAAATAGATAAAAGTAAGCATGTTTTGGATTCATAAACTATTCACAAATTAATTCAGCAGTCTAAGGGCTAATCAAAAACTAGAGATAAACATTTAACTTGAATCACAGTTATTAAAAATTAGATTTAAATTATTATTTAAAAGTAATTTGTGGTGGTTCTTATGTTGATCTTTTGGTTTCCAGTGAAATCAGAACCCAAAGGGGAAAAAACCACATTCAAGAGTGAGAAGTTTTATTGTTTTATAGTAATTTGTTGTTTGGGGTTTTTGTAGCAATTACTTTACATTATGATTTTTTCCAAAGTCCATCAGGATGTACTTTTTGGGGGAAGAAACCCTGGAGCCGAAAGAAGAAAATATTGTGGCAGCTGGGAACTCTTGTTGGTGCTCCTGTAGGAATTGCTTTAATAGCTGGCATCGCTATCCCTGCAATGATTATTGGCATTCCTGTGTATGTGGGACGCAAGGTAAAATGCATAATTCTTTGTTTCATTCAAAAATCTTTAGTCAAGGGTTGAAGATTTGTGCTTTGCTTTTATTTGTTTTGAAAGGTAAAGATCAGTTTTGTTATCTTAAATATAAATCAATTAACTTTTTTTATAACAAAATAAATATTGTAAGTGTTTGGAACAATTTTATATGCATAAAAAAGACTTGCTTTAACATATTTGTATCAGAAAACTACACTGTATTTGCATTACAAACCAACTTTAAATATATAGAGTATTGAAGGATATACACCTGACATTTTTGTGTTGGGAATATCCTTGTAAAATCAGGTCTATAAAAAATTAATAGCTCAATAACACACCCCCTCAAGCAAAGAATAAGTAGTCAGCTTCTGAATTATTTCCAGCAAAACAAAACTAATCATTTCCTTTGTAACAGACCTTTTTTTTTTTTTTACAATCAGATGAATCACAATGTATAATACTTTTTTTTTTTTTTAAACTAGCTTTGGGACTAAGAACAAACACAGATACTGTGAGCCCAGTATTTCAGAATGTTTTAAAAACTAAATTGAGGCCCTCCCTGGTGGCACAGCGGGTTAAAGCACTGCACTGAGAATCTAAAGCTGCTTCCGCATGAGTTTGATTCCCGCCTGCCCCGGAGGTGACCACATGGCATGGCAGACCTCTCCTGGCCCGCCCGCTGCTCCCCTCAGCAGTGTACTTCGTTGATCTGCCTGTTCTGTTTCCCACTCTGTCTCTGGTGAAGCCTCTCACTGCCCCTGAGCCTCTGGCCTGTACCCCAGTTCTGTATGCACAAATAAATAAATCTTAAAAAAAAAAAACAAAAAACTAAATTGATACTGCTTACTAAAGTCTCAGAATATCTGATTATAATTTCTGATGTAGTTATCAAAGAAAGATTTTGCAGAAAGCAAAATGGCTTATTTTGATATTTAGGAAAGGAAAAAGAGACTGTACAGCACATACCTGCAAATAATTCATAGAGGAGAGATTGTTTACCTCTTTGTTCAAGTCTTAAATGCAGTTACAAGTCTCCTTTTCTCAAACATGTACCATGTAACATTGAAACAGTGTTCTCTGTGGTGAGTAGGGATCTCATACCAGTCTAGGAACATCTGTTAAATTCAAAAAGAACCTAAAAGCTAAGTCTTCATTTATACTAATAAGTCGAAATTATTGTGAGTGTAATAAACTTAATTTTAATTAATTTTAGTTAAACTTAAGTTTAACTAGAATGGTGTAATACTACCATTACTATGTATTGAACATTGGTATTTGAAGATGCAACATTTTCTGGAGGATTTGCTTCATGTAGTTGGTACCTAGATCTTTCCACTGCTCTGTCCCACAGGATTCAAAATAGACACATAATAATAGGTGTTTTTTATTATACCTCATCTGTAATATTGTTTGTAAGTCAAGTTACTGAATTGTACCCATATACTTTTGACTCTGTTGTGAATCTGTCTTAAAACAGAGAGGAAGATGTACTGTAGTAGCTTCAGCTCTTTAAAACCATGAGTATAAAGATATTGAGCTATTACCCAAAGTTCATATAATACCTCACAAGCTACATTCACAGGGAAATTAAGTTCTTTTTTTTAAGAACTTGTACTCCGATCACCTGTACTGTGATCTGAGGTGTGCAGCAGGATAGGGGGAGGGAGAGGAGTCAAAACAAGAGAGGGAAGAGCACAGGAGACTGACTGAAGACTGTTCACAGATGATGTGGTGATTTATGAGGACTACACCTAAGGAGAGAAGTCAAATACTGTACAAAAATGAACAACAATGTAAGAAAATAAAACAGTTAATCAATAAAATCTGTATTATGTAATCTTTGCTTATTAGTACTGCTTTTTAAGGTTGGTTTTTTTGAAGTTTGTAAAATCTTCCCCTAGGAACCAATTTTTACCATTTAGAGATAGTTATGTAGAAGGGAAACTATGGAATGCTTAATTTCTTAGAAGTATTGCTAGTCTATCATCTAGCTCATAACTATGTTGAAAATATCTCCCCCTTTATTCAAAACATACTATTCTTGGACAAAATTATAAAGACTTTTTTCATTAAAAGGTTTATGTTTTATGGGTACAGGCCAGAGGGGGAGTGGGGACAGTGAGAAGCTTCACTAGAGACAGTCAGGAGCAGAACAGGCAGATTGACTGAAATACACTGTTGAGGGGAGCAGTGGGCAAGACAAGAGAGGTCTGCCATGTCATGTGGGTCACCTCCCTGGCTAGGAATCATATTCTGCTACACTGGCTCAGACAGTTTCATAGTGCTGCGCTTTAACCCATTGTACCACCAGGGAGGGCCCTAAAAAGACTGCTATTTCTAGAGACTTTGAAAATAGTTTATTTCAAACACAAAGTAAATCTTACTACATCAGTGTCTTATATAAGAAAATTACTAATAAGAAAGAAATTATTTGCAAGAATATGGTTTAAGAACAATAATACATTTACCTTCCCCCAATAATTAAGAATAGAAATACCATAACACAGCTTTTCCTCTGCTTGGTATTTATCCAAAGAATGTGAAAACACTTATTTGACAGGCGGGTATACTCACCACTATACTAACGAGGATGACGAAAACACTTATTTGAAGAGATAAATGTACCCATATAATTTCACTTATATGTAGTAGATGAACAAACAACAAAAACAGTCTCTTAGACTACATGAACAAAATTCTGTTTGCCAGAAAGGAAAGGGGATATGGTGTGAACAAACTGGGTAAATATGAAGAAGTGTATGGAAATGGATGGAAACTAGATTCTGGTAACAAGCATAATATGTGTGTGAGTGTGTGTACAAATGTTGATATGTAAGTATATCATGTTATTTTAATAAAAAGAAATCACAGTAAAAAGCTGTGTTTATGTTGAATCAGGACACAACTATGAAATTATAGTTTCTAGAAAATGTAGTTCTATTTCTTTTAATATGTATTTTCTCTTTAATCACCATCCCATTTTCCTTTTTTATTATAGATTCATAATCGATATGAAGGCAAGGATGTTTCCAAGCACAAAAGGAATTTGGCCATAGCAGGTGGTGTTACATTGTCTGTAATTGTCTCTCCAGTTGTAGCTGCAGTAACTGTAGGTAAGAATATGCTTAAAAATACTAATGACCTCAAGTTTTTATAAAATTAGAGTTTTATGGAATGATTTTAAAGAATAAAGAGCATTACATTGTTCATAATTGAGTTACACCGTATTGAAGGACAACCTGACTCTACAGAAAGTCTCTCCTGCAGTAATTAGTGAAAAGTATTGAAGACTCAAGAACCTAACTTTAGGATAGTAAATTGTTAGTGGCTTATCCCTCTCACTCCCCCAAATACAGTTTAAAGCCCTAACACTTGAAAAGAAAAAAGTTAATGCCTTTTATCCCCCTCATGTTTGTCACCTAAAAAGCTGAGGCTCTGAATTTGCTTGTGTCCCTTAACAACTAGATCATTCTACTTTTGGCAAGGATTGCAGAATTCTAGCACTTTTGTCTTACATACCCTTCCTTTGATGAGATGTTTCTAATGATTTTTTTTTTTTTTAGGTATTGGTGTCCCTATTATGTTAGCTTATGTCTATGGTGTTGTTCCAATTTCTCTCTGTCGAAGTGGAGGTTGTGGAGTCTCAGCAGGAAACGGAAAAGGAGTCAGGATTGAATTTGATGATGAAAATGACATAAATGTTGGTGGAACTAACACAGCTGTAGGTAAGTTCTTTGAGCAAAGGAAGAAATGTTACTAGTAGTTTAAGTGGAGGGAAGCTGCAGATAACATACAAGTCAGAATTTCCATTGACTTCAGTCAGTGAAATGAACTTCCAAGAAAAGGTACGTAGGTGAAAGAGACTTGTGTAGTTTTAGGTACCTAATATCTACTGGAAACATGTCTTAGAAATGTTAAACTTTTAATCCTAAATTTTGCCTAAAACATTACAAATCAGTAGGAAAAGGATATGAAGAGAAATGCAATTCATTTTAAAAGAAAAAATATATAGCCAATGAATAGGAAATATTTTTAACCTATTGCTATTCAAAGAAATACAAATTAGCACAATAATTGGAGAATGAAGGCCTCCATGGACTTCTAGTGGGATTGTAAGTTACTGAACCTTTTAAAAAAAGTACAAGTGCTGTCTTCCAACAATACATACTACCACAGTTTATCTTAGGGAAATAAATCAGGCAGATGTGCAAAGACAGTATCTATATTCTAATCTTCCATTTTCCCCTGAACTCACCTCAGATTTTGATCCCTACCATTCCTATATTTCATCTTTTGCCATACACCAGAGCAGAGTCATCAGTGCTGTGTCACCAAATATACAGTGGTCACTTCTCAGTCTTCCTCTTGATAGGTACACCTGACATGGTAGACTGTGCCCTCCTAAAAATGTCATCTTTTTGATTTTTAATTTTTTTTTTTAAACATTGTTTACTTCCCTCCTCCCCCAGTTCGTCTGCACTTCACCACCACGGCCCCCCACATTCCTTCTAAAAGTGCCATGTTGATTTGTCTTCTGGACAAATCTCACCTCATCATGTCTCTGCTGGCTGCTACTTCTCAATCTTCTTGATTAGTTTGGTTTCCTCTCCTAACCATAAATTTCAGAGTTTCCCAGAGATCAGTTCTCAGATTTAATGTCTTTACTTATACTCACTCCCTGGGTAATCTTACCTGTGAAATAATATATAAACTGATCACTCCTCTTATGTCTAGTTTTGAACTCTCCTCTAGGCGCCATACGTGTGCAGCTAACTCAGTTCTTTAATTTGTACTTAATGTCTTGCAAGAATTGCAAGCTTAACATTTTTGTAACTAAACTCTTCACTCTAAAAGCTGTTATTCTCTGAGTTATCCTCACCTTAGTAAATAACATCCACCTTTGTTGTTGTAGGGGCGCCATACTTAACATCCATCCTTGGCTGTTGTTTGAGCCACATAATTTCACATAGATACCCTTGTAATCTGTCAGCAAATTCTGCTTCCTTCAAAATAGCACCATAATGCAACCCCATTCCTCACCCTTCTTCATTATTATTGCATTCTTCAGGTTACTAGCTTCTTGGACTATTGTAAAAGCCTTTTAACTGATCCATTAATTTTTCAGCTATAATGTAGCCATAGTGAGACTTTTAAAACATGGTTAGGTCATGTCTGTATACGCTCAGGCTTCTAACAGTATTGGAGGAAAAGTCCACAGTCCTTATCATGATCAAGCCCCTCTCCTACATGATATATTCTCAGCTGTGTCCCTGAAATCATCTCATCAGTCTCTCACTTTACAGCATCTCTCAATGTTTCCAGGATGCCAAGCACATTCCCACTTCTAGGCTCTTATATTTGCAGTTCCCTCTATCTGGAATACTCTTCCCCCAGGTAGTTTCATGATTCACACCTTTTCTTCCTTTGAATCTCAGCAAATGTTAGCTTATCAGAGACCTTCCCGGACCACACCTGATGTGTAGGCATGCATGTATGTGTGTGTGCACTATATATTTATGTATGTGTATATATATGTGTATACATATACATACACATACTCTTCCATCACACTCACAGACTTTCACTCCTCTTTCCTGTGCTTATTTTTTTCATACCACTTCTTCCCATATAATTTATTACTCTTGCAACTAGGATGTAAGTTTCATGAGGATAAGATGTGTCTCTTTGATTCACAATGCCTCCAGTGCTTAAAACAGTATATAATAGAAATTCAAGAATTGGAGTAAATAAATGCATTCTTCAATGCAAAGCATGTGAAAAGTACAGTAAGACTAGAATATAGATCTTGTAATATCAGGTGTTATAATAGTTTGTAGGTAATTGGAGCTATGGAACAAATATAGACACCAACTTTTGACCCATTCTTACAGAATGGGTCTTACAGAATGACCTACAGAATTATAAGCACTTAAAAAATAACATCCTTATTGAAAACTACTATGTAATTTTCCTCTAAAGTTTGCTAAATTGTTCAATAATCAGGTTCTTTATAGAATTTCTATATTTTGTGGATATTTTAAAAAGTAGTATTGATTTCAGATTGAGGGACACTCCCGATCCAGCTTTGCTGTTTGAGTTATTTTTCTTTACTTTTATTCTGTAGTTGTGTATTCCTCACCCCAGACATCTCTGCTGTGTATCTCAAACTTTTACAAGATAAAATGTCTTATCTGAAATGGAGGAATTTAAGACAAGTTAATCATCATTTAAACGAATTTCTTTGAAACATTTGCATTTAGACACAACTTCAGTAGCAGAAGCAAGACATAACCCTAGCATAGGGGAGGGAAGTGTTGGTGGTCTGACCGGCAGTTTGAGTGCAAGTGGAAGCCACATGGATCGAATCGGAGCCATTCGAGACAACCTGAGTGAAACTGCCAGCACCATGGCACTGGCTGGGGCCAGCATAACAGGAAGTCTGTCAGGAAGTACCATGGTCAACTGCTTCAACAGGTAAGTAAAATGTGCCTGTGTTGTTTGTTTTAACCTTTTAGCTATGAATTATTAACTAGATGAGAATATTATACACAATTTGATTTCTATAACCCTACTGTGTCAGGATTGTAAATAGTAAAATTGATGAAATCCTAGTAATAAACAGGTGATTTTTACTTTTTTAAATTTTTGTTTCTCTTAAGTTATAGTGGTATATATATATTATGTTTTATTTAGTCAGATATTGATTTTTAGAACCATTTTTAATATAAAAGACCAAGATTTTTTGATTCACTAATTTATCATGTAAATGGTTGTAATGATGTATTCATATTATGTGCTTTGCATTGAAAGGTTATAAGCAAATTGTCACATCCTAAGCCAGAATAATAGGAGCATACTTAAATTAAAATTATGTATAGTCATTTAGTTTTACTCTACCTTATTTGGCAGGGATTTTTTTTTTAATTTATTTAGATAGCCACTACTATTACGTGTGCTACAGTAGAATTTAAATAATCAAATAAGAAGTGAAAAAAATGGTCATAGTTGTTTCTAAAATAAATTCTTGTTGCAAGGGTTCATAACTGAATTATTTAAAGATGCATATACAACAGTGCTGATAAATTTAATTTTGGTTTTCATGTGATACCCCTTTAAGGTTGGAAGTACAAGCCGATGTACAGAAAGAACGGTACAGTCTGAGTGGAGAATCTGGTACAGTCAGCTTGGGAACAGTTAGTGATAACGCCAGCACCAAAGCAATGGCAGGATCCATTTTGAATTCATACATCCCATTGGACAAGTAAGAAAAGAGTTGTTATTAAAACAGAAGTATCTTTAAAATTGATTTTTAAAAGAATAATCCATGTCATTAGGCAAAATTATCATGAACAATAGCTATGAACTCTTAGGTTCTCTGGAAAAGAAAATGGTGAGATGCCTGGAATAGGCAGTCCACAAAGATAGAAAGTCACTTAATATCTGCTGGAGGTTATTGGGAGGGAAAAAGGGGAACTGACTGGTATATACAGGGTGTCTTTGAGGGATGATGGGAAAGTTCTGAAGTTAGTGGTAATGGTTACACAACTCTGAAGATACTGAAAATAACTGAGTTATGCAGTGTAAGCAGGTAAATTTTATGGTATATAAATTTTATCTCAATAAAGTAATTTGAGGGAAAAAATAAAGGCGGTAACATGTACCTGGAACATCATAAGCCATAAATGTAGCTGCTTCTATTTTTCATTGAAGCATTATACTATTCTCTTTTAAGTAGCTTTTAAAATAGAATCCTGTGTTAATTGTTCTGGTACCTTTTATGCAAATCTTTGAATTTTCACACAGAACCCCCTTCCCATGATGTCGTCTGAATCAAAATAAATAGGAAGTCAGAAATTTATTTGTGTTACTCTTATGTTTTAGAGATGGCAACAGTATGGAAGTACAAGTAGATATTGAGTCAAAGCCACCCAAATTCAGGCACAACAGTGGAAGCAGTAGTGTGGAGGATGGTAGTGCCTCCCGAAATCATCCTGTTGGTTCATCCAGTGGCTTGCCTGAAGGTAAACCCAGTGCCACCAAGTGGTCCAAAGAAGCAACAGCAGGAAAGAAATCAAAAAGTGGTAAATTGAGGAAAAAGAGTAACATGAAGATAAATGAGACCAGAGAGGACATGGATGCACAGTTGTTAGAGCAACAAAGCACGAACTCCAGTGAATTCGAGGCTCCATCCCTCAGTGACAGTATGCCATCTGTAGCAGATTCTCACTCTAGTCATTTTTCTGAATTTAGTTGTTCTGACCTAGAAAGCATGAAAACTTCTTGTAGTCATGGTTCTAGTGATTATCATGCCCGCTTTGCTACTGTTAACATTCTTCCTGAGGTAGAAAACGACCGTCTGGAAAACTCCCCACATCAGTGTAGTATTTCTGTTCTTACCAAAACTGCTTCATGTTCAGAAGTCCCACAGTCGAATCATATTGCTGAAGAACATGGTAACAATGGAATGAAACCTAATGTTGATTCACATTTTGGTGATGCACTAAAAGAAACAAATAATAACCACTCACATCAGACAATGGAATTAAAAGTTGCAATTCAGACTGAAATTTAGGCCTATAAATGCTGCAAAATAATTACCACTGAACAACCTTGTTTGGAGCTGGGTGACCTACATGTGACTACTTTTAAGTTTCAAGTTACCAGCAAATGCCGGGTTACATAATCATAATGCAGATACTTTTTCTAAGTTCAGCAAAGCATTGTGTTTCATGTGGATTTTAATTACCAAACTATGAACGGAAGGCTTTAAAAGTGTATTATTGTAATGACAATAAATTGTAAGAGAATTGTTTTGTGTGTTTGCCACAAAACATTGCTTGAAGTATATACTTGTATATTTAGGTAGAAATTTGGCATAATTTATAATCGATATAAAATACTAATGCAGTTCTACAGCATTCTTATGAAGAAAACTTGAGACTTAGGTTTAAGTGGTTAGTGACATTTTATTGAAACCACTAAAGGATACTATTTAAAGAACCTTGCAGGTTATTCTCAGCATATAATACTCTTTGTAACATTTCTTTTCGTAACTGGGCATAAATTTCATTCTTTTCTTCATAGGCAATATGGATATATAAAGCTTAATGCAGCCCATTTGCTACCATTTGGATACTTAAGACACTTGGAGCAAGATTGTGGCAGTTTTTGCTCAACTTTGAAATAGAAATACCTAGTACTCTATATATAATCTTGTATATTGTTGATACCATCTTAGAAGTGTAAAGGTAGATAAGTATACTGACAGCACCAAATAAGATGTATAAAACTGCAAAATAAAGTTCAATTAGTTTGTAAGTATTACAAAAATAATACTTTCATTAAGGGGAAATTTGCAAATCCCTTCTTATCCCCCCTTTGATTCTTGGTGCCTTTGGAATAGACTGGATTTTAAGGGCCTCATTGTTTGAGAATTTTGCTGTGTTGTTTTCCATAATATCCTCTTTAGCCACCTTGAATTGTGTAGAAAAATACAAGATAGAAAAACATAAGTATAATAATGCTGAAAAAAGTATTAGCCTACCAAAGACACACTCAGGCTTTGTGAATAAATTTACATAACCTCAGTTTTTAACATATAGTATCCTCTCCAATCATGAAATGAGAATATGTTGCAGAGTTTGTACCAAGTACTAAAAGGAGGGTTCTACGTATGGCTCACTTGATTTGCTTTTGCTTTTGTTTATGGGACATATTCAGCTTACATAAGCAGAAGTTGGTCAAAATACTGCCTTTATTGTTAAATTCCTTATAATTCACTTAAATATAACAGGTAAACCTCAAATGATAGCAGTTAAAATGTTCCATCTTATGTGATTTTATTTTAAGTATTACCATTTTGGTGCTACTGAGCATTTTCTTTAGATAAAAAGAAAAATGCCATGGGCTGCAATCTTCTTCCATTACTTTTCCTCATCAGGTCCATTAATATGCTTATAACACTAGTGCCAGTTATCTTATTTGATATTGCTTATTATGCTATTTGTATATTTGTTTGCATTCCAATTTTGTTCAACAGTGAGTGTGTAAACAACATACATGAAATAAATGTAAATACTAACATACTTCTGCCATGTTTTTTTTCATGTGATTATTCATAAATATTTAACCTTTAGGATGGTTCTTCATTCAGTCTAAATGAAAGCATCTGCTGAACTTCTTGATACAACAACAAATTAATCCTTTATGCCTAATTTCTGTCTCTTCTCCAGAAGGAAGATGCTTATGTTGATGTATTCATCAACATAAATTGGTTGATGATTGATTGGTTGTCAATAGATTGACATTAAATTAGATAGAAATAATTTATTATAAATTCTTTCCTTAGAAAAAATTATCTTAAAAGATTGAGACTCTACACCAAAAAACTGTTATGAAATAGAACCATTTCAAGTTAATAGTTGTAATGAAGTGTTTTCTGTTCTCAGAACCTCTATAATAAGTATGCATTGTTTTTGTTACATAACTAATACTTGAAAATAATCTGTATGAGTAAGTTGACTGCCATATAAAATATTATCAGATGATGGTTGATATGAAAAATACAGGGTGGGAGATAAAGTAACCAGATGCTATTGGCTAGTACTGTTTTATATACAGGGGAAACCAGAAAGAACTCTGCTTAGAGATCTGTACAGAAAAACTAAAACACATAAAGGAGGATCTGTAGACAAACCTGGTGGATGAGCAATACAGAAAGAACGCTTTACCTAGGTAAGTTAATGAACAATTTACACATTAATTGAAATTGTTTGATATTTTACGTTTGTTTGATACCCCTTTGTTTCTCTTGGAGAGAAGTGATTGTTCTTGAGCTTTACATTTCTAGAAACACTTCAGAATAGCCCCCTTGAGTTCCATCAGTTTTGATGGAATTGCACTGAACCTATAGTTACCCTGTAGGTCTTTCACATATATTACCAGTGTTAAATTTTATTCTTTTATGTATACTTTTTGAATGTCATTTCCTACGTACAAGAAGCATCTAGATACACAACTGATTTTTGTGTGATGAATGTGGGAAATATTCCAGTAGAATTCTAATTACTGTTTTCTAGATTCTTTGAGATTTCTGTGTACATAATCATTTGTGAATAATTTAACAAATTACAGTGCTTTTGACATCAGATGTATTCTACAAGCTTTTTAAAGTATTAATCTTCAGCACAATCCTGTGCACAAGATAATTTTACTATCCCCATTTTACATATGAAAAATAAGGCACAATTTATTAAGTACTTTCCCCAGAGCTTCATAGCAGGTAAGTTGCAGAACTAGAATTCAAACTTTTGTTGCTTCTTCAATCTTTACATAGTATATTTCTTTTTCTAGCCCACTTGCATTGGCTGAGACAAATGTATAGTGGTGAGTAACAGTGTGCTATTAGTACAATATTACTACAATATTGTTTAAGATTACTCTTGTTTATCACAGCACAGTTGACAGTAGGTGAGCAATGGAAAGCAACCCAAATGTCCAAAAATAGATGATTGGATCAAAAAGATGTGGTATATCTATGTGATGGAATATACTCAGTGATCAAAAAGGATAAACTCTGCAGCAACATGAATGGAGCTGGTGGGATTATGCTCAGTGAAATAAGCCAGAAAGAAAAAGGAAAAATAACAAATAGTCTTAACTTATAGGAGTAAAATCATCAGGCAACTATAGTTCAGAGACATTCTGTAGGGGAGAAAGAGGGAGAAGGATCAGAACAGAGGTGGGAATTTCACACATTGTACAAAAATGAAGCATATATATCTTTTAAAACACTAATGTTAATCACAAAGAAAAAGTTTTCAGTACTTCATTTATTATATTTGTTATCCCTCTATCAAATTTGTTAGATTTTTTTCATACCCTTAGTGTGCCAAATTGAAGTTTTGGAAATGGGTTGAATTTTTTTTGGAAGGGACTGCTATTGGAGATGTATCTATCACATAATTGTAATTTACCCCTTTAATATGGTGAATTTGATCTTTTAAGTGTGAACTAACCTGCTGGGGTAAGAGTCAATGTCAGAATATACAAGATGAGAAATAAGTCTTCAGTATTTAGTAAGAATTTACCAAATTGTTTATGGGTTTTTTAAAGTCCCTCTCTCCACCACCATCCCTTAAACCTGTTTGTCTTCCACTTGATTTCACAGGCCTCTGTTGTATTTGATGTAGGAGATGCCTCCTTAAACCTTTACTGGTTATCTTCAAATGGAGTATGAATAGTTGAGTTTCTGTATTGGGTTTTCTCAGCTTTTGAATATAGGTAGACTTGTTCCGCACTCCTTGCTTCCTCTTGTGGCAGAATTCTTAAACTTTTACATCGCTATTCAGCTCATTAAATTCTTTATCCCCAGAATTTGGGTTTGCTAATAATTTCTCTGTTTGGTAAAAGTTCATTGTGTACAACAAAGTACAGCTCAACGTGCTGGCTGCTGTCTTTCTCTTTTGTTTTCCAAAAGGTGGTGCTAACGCTTCAGTTTGTGATTTCTCCTTTTCTGCAGACCCAGCCCTTTTTATGTCTGTATTATCACATTACTCTCAATTTCAAATTGCTGTATGTGGAGAAAACTTCTGTTTCTATAAACATCTCATACAGGATGCAATTTTAATATATTCCATTATTTGCCTTTACAAAAAAATTAATAACATTAAAAACAATTTTCTTTAAGATTACAGTTAAAATACATTTTTAAAGAAAAATGGCACAATTTTAAAAGGCAGCACTTATTCACAATAATTTTTCATATTCTATAATTATAAAAAGTTAGATAAATATGGAAACCTTTACATCTAAAGAACAAGAAAATACTCCAGAAAGAGTGAAGTGACTTAAAGCTAGAGGAATAGATGGCAGTATATTGAATAGAAACATGAATGTTTTATTGTAAAAACTGCCTTTACTTTAGCCCAGTTAACAAAGGAGATTTCGATATGAGTTCTTCACTTGCCCTTTTACATTAAGGGGGTGTATATGGCCATGCTTAATGGAGGAAACAGAAAAAGGGAACGGGCATGGGGAAAATGTGGGGCATCACAATCCCACTGCAGGCTGAGGTGCTTTTAAATACTTAGGCAATATATAAGGGAAAGTCGTTTTTAAGATCTATTAAAAAGCAGTAGAAAATTTTTGGCAATATTTGTTCTTATGGTTAGGAATTATTTCCATTAAAAAAAAAGTTTCTCATATAGCTTTCAATTCATAATTACAGTTTATTTAATAATGCTTTCATATCACTTCATATTATAGACTTAAGGGTTGCATTTCACTTACATTAATCCACAGTAGTATGAAGTGAGATTTAGCTATGTCTTAGCAGGAAATAAAAGTGATATAATAATGACTGTTAATGACCTTTACTTTTAAAATTGCATTTTAAAGAAATAAATTCCTATTAAACATAAGAGCACACTTTCATAACCCAAAGAAATGTGTTTAACTCAAATTCTTAACAAGTGATTAAAAGGAAATGTATACTATAAATTAAAAATGCATTTTAACAAGTTTCAAGTATGCTTATTATTAAATATAAATGGATGTTAATTCTGGTACATAAGAAAATATTTACATCTAACAAAAGGGAGATTATAGAATATACATGTTCTTTATATAAAAATAAGTAAAATAGTTTATAGTCTAAACCGAGGTATCTGTTCTTAGTGAGATTTTACCCATGAAACACCAACTATACCATCTGTCTCATTACCATTGCTGGAACATACATGCATGGAAGATATCTAGCAATAATACTGCCTTCTTAAGGCTTGTACATCTTCTAAAGTAAAATGTTCACTTGGTGAATGTGAGAGGTCATCAAATAGTTGTTCAATTTGTTCCTTTGGGCCTTTACTAATTAGTGTCAACATCATCTAAAAAAAAAGGATGACAACATTTTCATTAATATAAAATAACAGAAACCCTGAAAAACCAATCTCTATTAAGATATTTTGCTACATACCTTAAACCTCTCTGCTTTACTTAGATGTAAAAGATGTTGATATACCAATGAAGGATCAATATCTATAAGATTACTTTTCAGAGACTGAATGAGGAGGAGCAATGTATCTGCTTCAAGTTTGTTACTCAACAGCATTGGTAAATCTTTTGGTTCAGTGATTCTTAAAAGGTGTGCACAAGCTTCTTTATCTTTCCTACTACTGATGGCATTTATAACCTGACCAAATTCATAAGCATTGTTAGGCTTAGCAGTCAGTAGTTTTTCATAGTATTCATTTGGCTCACTGCTTGGGTCCCCCTTCTCAGAAGCTAGATAGTCTTTGGAGATCTCCTGTAAGGTTCTGTGAGGTTCCTGTTCGTGGTCTTCATTCACCTTCAAGAGGAAAAAAAAAAAATTCACACAATGACATAAACAACGGTCACCACAAATTAACTTTGAAGTTAGACTTCAAAATGGGAAGGAATTGAAAGACCATATTTTAGTCAAATTCTAAATGAAAAATGTGCATTTGTATTAACTTATAAGATCTTTTTTAAGAAGTCGTAAGGCATAAAAGTATTAAAAGTTTAAACACTAAAAAACAATTTTTATACTTAACTGTGAAAAAGCTGTTGTATAAAGACCTACATCATCTTTAGTTGGCTTATATTTTCATGATAAATTTTATATTTAGTTACTTCCCCTCACATTTACCAGAGAAGTTAACTTTTTCAAATTTCTTAAAAACAGTTTTCATCTTCCCTCTTTGGGAAAGGGGAGAACTACCTAATTTCTCTCACATCACACTCAAATTCTATTTGAACCTTGTTTGGGATAACAGCATTCACAAATCACAGGAATTTATGACCTGACATTCTTCACTAAAGGAAAAGCAGAAAGCTACTGCACAAGACAATGGTTAACTGAAATCACAAAGGTAGGCTGGTTGACTGTGAGGTAGTCTCAAATCTCTGATAAAGCATGGCTTGTTTGTCAGAGTGCTAAAAAAGTGAGTCATTCTGGGGGAAAAAAAAGTGAGTCATTCTAGAAAACTTATACAAATTATGGCTTCCAAGTTACTGAAACAATCAGTTCTGTCAGGTTTCTCCAGTTCTACTCAGTGTGCATAGGCAGGCAGAGCAATCGAGTGGAAGCAGTACAAACCACAGGTCAGGTTGGGGAGGGCAGAGAAACCACCTCAATGATGCACATTTCCCAGTTCGGACCATCAACCCAAGATGGGAAATACAGTGGCTAATTCTCATTGCAGAGGAAAAGAAAAGTTTTATTTGGGTTAAGTTTATTTTCACTGAACATCAAAAGATTCTTAAAAGTTTGCGAAATGCTAGGAATATAATTTTAGAGTAAAAAATATGAGCATAAAATCCAAAAAGAAAAAGCACTTTCAAAGATAGTCAAAGACAAATACCTCTTGAATCTCAATTTTCCTTCTCTCCTTTTCTTTGTGACATGATGTGTTATCCTTAATATTAAGGAATCTGGTTACTTCTTCCAGTTCCATCTTTGCCTCAGCAATATTTGAGTCAAGTAGGAGAACTTTATTGAGATCATTTAAACTTTTCTGATAATTCTGAAATTAGAAAGAGAAATTAATTTTCATAAATTGGAGAAGGGGCATAACTTGCCTGAGAGGAATGAACTGTGTGTGAATGAGTTGTGCCAGGAGGTTTCCCATGGTCATAAAATTAGGTCCAATAAGGTAAGTCTGGGCTTAAAATGTTAAAACTGGTATTACAAACTACTAGGTTATCAGGAAAGTCATGACATATTTTTTGAAAACCCAAAAAATTGCATCATGACTTTTTGGACAACCTAATACTGTTATTAGCTGTAGGTCACAAAAACACAGTTGGAACAAGTACTACTAAGAAAAGAATACACAATCTGGAATTATAAGACTCAAGTTCAATTCTCTTATCACAACCTTCACAATCCCTAATACTTGTCGAGACATTTGTTGTCTGCTGAGTTACGAGTAAGTTAAAGAATAAGTCTCATGGTAGCACCTACTATGAATAACAGTGAACTTGAATGTGATCCTACTTAACCTTTCTGTGCTTCAATTTTTCATCTTTAAAATAAGAATAACCAAAGCTGCTCTAGTTTTCTAGGTTATACCAAGAAATAATGAGTGGTTTAAAAGTCTATGAAGGGTTACACAAAGCTGGTTATTACATAATTTTCTTGCTCTGTAAAACCCTTCAGATGTTTATTATTCAAGTAGACTAGAATCAACATTTACTCTTCTGTAGAGTCAGACAATACCTTAGAGAAACTTAAAGGAATCTAAGACACAGGGAAACAGTAACAGAGAGATTCCACAAAAATCAGTCTACTGTGATAGGTTATATTCTAGATCTACAGGCCTAGGTCTATATTTTGATTAAGCCAAAATGAATTTTATGAGGTGGCAAAGAATTCCAGTGATGTTTAGCCTCTCTGAGTATGCCTGGCATATCAATAACAGCATGCTTAGAGGCTGAGGCACAGATAAGGAGCTACTGGTTGTGTCACATTCCTGGGAGAGCTGTAATGCCACATCCCTTCCCCCACCCCCAACATATTGAACACAAACACAAGTGATGTGTCTTAAGGGATAACTTTAAATCTGCTCATATATGTATTTTTTTAAATGTAAATTATTATGTACTATTAGTACAAAAAACTCCACATGCCACTATGCCACAAAAGCATAGCTGGAACCCACTACCAGAAAAAAAAAAAATGAGGGCCCTCCCTGGTGGTGCAGCATGTTAAAGCACAGCACTATGAAGCTATCTGCAGCCATTTCAGCACAAGTTTGATCCCCAGCCAGAGGGTGATCCACATGGCACAGCAGACCTCTCCTGATCCACCCGCTGCTCCCCTCAGGAGTGTACCTTGTCAATCTGCCTGTTCTGCTCCCCACTCTCTCTCTGGTGAATCCTCTCATTCCCCACACCTCTGGCCCGTACCCTAGTTCTGTATGCATAAGTAAATACATCTTTTAAAAAAATGACATCCTATGTTCTAGGTAGGGAGCCATGTACGAGAGAGATGGGAGTTGGGGCAACAGGGCAAGTGGAGGGAGTACTGATAACTCCCACCATTTGCAGACTTTTGCAAGTATTCTCTTTTTCTCACAATAGCCCTATTCATACTTGGTTCCGATTTAGAGATGAGGAAATTGAGGCACAAGGATTATTAGGGGGATGATAAGGGCATCAGTGGACAGAAGGCAGGTGCTAATACACTTGTGGAATTCAGGTGAGCACGTGGTAGGATTTGGCATAATTTTTTTCATTCGTTCAAAAAAGTGTGCCTAAAAGCACCTCTGCTTGGAGGAAATGTAAGCAAACAGGAATACATTTCAGTATGTTTAAGAGACAGGTGGTTGTGATGAGAAGGTAGGACTGCAAGGGCGGGAACAGCATCAAGCAGGGAGGAAGAGAACAGAACAGAACAGAAGAGAGCCCCAGTCTGTCTGCCTGCTCCCAGAGTGCTCAGGAAAGTTAATTCACTTGATGCAGAGCCACTGTACACTTCCAGGTCCTAGGAGCTGGAACAAATGAAGAACCGCCATGATCCCCAAGTCCTTATAGGAGCTTATATCTTACGAGGGGAGACACGAATTAGATAAACAAGTATGGATTGTCACCAGTGCAACTACAAGGAAACCAAGGATTTTAATGGATACTAGGGGAGGACAGTTATTGGAGAAACCAGCTGTGCAGAGTGGAAGACAGAACAGAGAGAACAAAGAGCAGAGTAGGGCTTTAGCAAAGAGGAGACCTAGAAGTCAGGTGAGTAAGTTGAGAGTCAGGAAGTCAGTATGAGGTGAATCTACTTAAAGAATTGGACACATACATGAATTCATAAATCATGCAGATCCTGTACCCAGCCCATTAAGGCCAACATATAAAGTTTAAATAAGTTCCTTATCGTAGTGCCACACATCATTTAGAAAATTCGTAGTGCCACACATCATTTAGGAAATCATTATGTGAGGTTTATAAACAAGTGTGTTGTTAACAAAGGAGGTGGTGCGACGGCCAGGTCGCATGGACGCTGTCAATACAGCACAGCTGTGGGGCTTCCCACTTGGTGAACTTAACCACATGTGAGGATGTGGTGCACCCCACTTCCGTGCAGCAGAGCACCGAAGCTCCTGGCCCTTGCCCTGAGTACCTCTTCACCTGGCTATTCCTCCACATCCTTTATAATCTGGGAAGGAAGGGGAGGTGGGTGAGCAACTGCCTGGCTCCCCTGGACTGGGGGGTGTAGATAGCACCTACATCAGTGTGACTACTGCAACCTGAGTGGATCTAAGAGCTAGAGAGGCCTGATCACACATGTATGACGATCACATTCATAGACTAGTCTCTACTGACTTTTGTAAGCTAGTAAAGGAGAAAAAGCTTAAGTAAAACCATTGTTAAGTCAGAAACTGTCAGTACATCCCATATGAGTGTATGTATGTTAATTATGAAGAAAGCAAAATTAATCAATAGTGACAGAATTTACCTGAGCAGCCACCTGGAAGCAGAATGGAAAAATGAATGTTACTTTGTGGAGAATTAAAAGTGTTTATCTTAATTTGAGTAGAAACCACATGGAGATTATATTATTCAAAAGCCAATGACAAAATTAAAGGGAAAATCCCATTTACAATTTCATCAAAAACAGTAAGTTAAACCAATGAAGTGAAAGGTCTGTACACTAAAAACAATATGACGACGATGAAAAAAACTAAACACAGCAAATAGAAAGATACTCCATGCTCATGGTTGGGAAGAACACTGTTAAAATATCCATAATACACAAAGCAATATACAGATTTCAATTCAATCTCTTTCAAAATTACATTGACATTGTTCATAAAATAGAACAATCCTAAAATCTGTATACAGCCACACAAAAAAAGCAATCATGATAAAGAGCAAAGGTGCAGGTACTATATTTTCTGATATCAAACAGTAGTACAGTATAGTCGAGTAGTAGAAACAGCATGATTTTGGCATAAAAACACAGCTCAGTGGAAGACAGCCCAGAAAGCACATGCACATAAATGGTCAATTAATTTGGGGCAAAGGAGCTTGTAAAAGATTAGAACTTGAACACTGTCTTACACCACACCCAGAAATTAAACTAGACTTGAATCTAGGACTAAAACCGTAAAACTCCTAGAAGAAATCAGGCCGTAAATTACTTGATAATCAGTCTTGGATCTGACACCAAAAAAAAAGTCAAAGGTAACAAAAGCAAAAGCAAGTAGGAGTACTCATCAAACTCAAAGCTTCTGCATAGCAAAAGAACCTCCCTGGTGGCAGCTGCAGGTCAAAGCACAGCACTAAGAAGTTAAAGCCACTTAAGCATGAGTTCGATCCCCGGCCCCTGACCCATATGGCACAGCAGACCTCTCTTGTCTTGCCCCGCTGCTCCCCTCAGCTGTGTACTTTGTCAGCCAGCCTGTTCTGCTCCCCACTCTGTCTCTGGTGAATCTTCTCACCGTCCCTGCACCTCTGGCCTGTACCCCAGTTCTGTATGCATAAATAAATAAATCAAAAAAAAAAAGGCATCCTACTGAATTGCAAAAAAAAATTTGCAAATCATACATACAATATGTATGTATTATACACGCCTTTCCTGAACAATGACTTGGCTTCTTAGAGAACACCATTCTACAGTTTCACACTGCCCAGTAGGCAACTGAAGGGCCAAATCATTATGAGAGTCACAAGTTCTGGTGTGTCCCTGCCAACTCCTAGTAGGTGAGCCATCTACCACACCAATGCTGTCCTCCCCCTCCACAGACAACCCCAGTCCTTCACATAGCTCATGACCATAATTCAGTAACAAATCATCCCTGCCCCTTAAAGTAGACCTATTATAACATCATTCCTTAGAGAATCAGTGAGCTGGGTGAAATGTTGCAAATTATCAAGCCCCACATAAAGTAAGGAAATCTGAGGCCTTTACCAAGGTTTCAGGACTAGATTTAAATCCCAGGGTAACCTCACTCCCATGCCATAATTCTAAAGTTAATGTTCATGAAAACTGTATGACGTGCTCAGAGCCAAAATTGATAAATAAAAAATGAAGATTCCCTCACCTTGAGTCCTTTGTGAGCAAGCGCTCGTCTATAACAAGCTTTCACATTCCCGTCATCTATCTGAAGGGCCTGATCACAGTCCTGCTTTGCCTCTTCAAATTGGCACAGCTTCAAGTAACAGAGCGCTCTGGTGTAATGCAATGGAACTCAGTATTATGACATTTTACTCCAATGGTGACATTTTCTTGCAATATATGTAACTATGGCACTGGGAACAGAACAAAACAAACAAAACACAATTCCAGCCCACAAGAAGATACAATCTGAAGGAAGACACATTTAGAACAAGCAAACATATTAAAGTCTGTATTAGAGGTTCTGGGAGCACACCAGCTGAGAGTCTTATCAGATCTGGGAGGGCCAAAGTGAGGGGAGGAATAATCAAGAAGACTTTCTACAAGTGCCATTTAAGTTGATGCCTAGAATAGAAATGACTGGAATGCAAAGGTACTGGGCAGAGAGTTAAGTGATAAGGAGGGAAGAGTGGAGGGCGAGGGCACAGGTACTCAGGTGAGAGACAACATGGTGAACTCAAGGGGCAGGAAAAATGCCTTTTGGTTAGGTTAAAAGAGACAGGTAATATCATACAGAGTTTTATATCACGAATCAAGAAGGTTGAGCTATATCCTAAACATCAGAGAAGCCCACAGAAGGGTTTTAAAATAGGGGCTGCCGTGTTCACCATGTTTTAGGAAGATCAGTCTTACTGCAAATTGGAAATGGGAACAGAGGGGACAAGACATGCAGGGCACCCTGTGCAGGGCGCTGCAGACACTGAGGGGAGAAGGTGGTTGCCCAGCCGCAGGAGCTGTTCAGGGTGAAGAGGAGTCTACAAGGTAGGACATCGGTTTTGTTGGCAGAAGAGGGTGTTGGGAAAGGGCGACAGCCATCAGGAAGCAAAGGGAGTCTGCTCAGGTCCAGAGCTCAGAGCAGAGATTTGGGACACAGTAATTGGAGGTAGGGAGAGGGTGACATGGTCCAGAGAATGAGTAGTGCCAAATGGGACCTATACTTGTAGAACCCTAAGAATACCAACGGGAGAAGTCACTTCCAGAGGAAACCAAGTGGCTATTAATGTCCAGTATGGCAGAAGTTAAACAGGGCATCAAATTACTTATTGGATATAAAGACCAAATTTTTGGCAAAAATTTGCTAATATAGAAAAAATATGTACAAAAGTAAGGGAGTAAGAAGTTAAATTTAAAAGAATTCATCTGAAATAGGAGAAATTTGTGCTGAGTCCTGACTCTTTAGGAACAACCCTTTGTTCTTCCTTATCACCATAGACTACCTATTCTCTAAAAATCTCCAATCGTCACATCCTAGACAGGAATCTTTATCAGAATGTGGCAAAAAATGATACCCGAGCAGCATTCTAGAACAATTTGCCCATTCCTAGTGGATACTAAATGATGCTGGCTTGCTCATTTAGGAAAAAAAGACATTGCTTCTTCAGTTCCCGGTTTGAAAGACAACAGATTCCTGCGTCTACCACACTGACAATGCTCAGAGTATAGAACCAGAAAGTGTCCGATCACAAACTAATACAAATCAATGTTGCCTCAATGAAAAAAAAAAGTGACAAACTGAAATTCTATATCCACTATATAGCAATTGCGTATTTCCCTCTCCCAGTCCCCAGCAAACTACCTTTCTACTTTCTGTCTCAAAATTTGGCCATTGGCACTTCATATAATTGGAATCTTAAAATCAAAAAAGAAAAGAAAGAAAAAAAGCAGCCCAGCCAAGGTGGTGACGGTAGAGGCCTAAAGAGCCCCGAAGAACACAGATGACATCAGCTCTCTCAGTCCCTCTTCCCCCACCTTGTTTTAAATCTAAGAACTTGTATGGCTCCTCTTTGGAAAACATTCAGTTAGGATAATTTGCTATATAAGCCATAGGAAAAAAACTCTGGCAATTAATGCATCTGTATCTTTTTATCAAAAATATTAACATAAGAAATAAAGTTACAAAGAACTTGCCTGTTTGTGTAAATGGCACATTCCTTATTGTTAATCTTTAAGCATTCACTGTATTTACTAAGGGCACCTTTATAGTTTTTGTCCTTTACACATTGGTTTCCTTCTTCCTTAAGGGTTTTAAACCGTTTTTCATCTATGGGACCCCAAAACAAAACAAAAAGTAGAAGTATTCATATAAACATCTCTATAAAATTTTAAGTACATCTGTAAGGTTACAAATTATCTTGACCGCATGCCATGCAAAGCTAAAACTCTAGCCCTAGAACTCTGTACACAAATTTAAAAGATAAACCGGCTATCAGTAAAAAAGTCTATACAATTTTGACACAATTATTTTCAAATTAGAAAGAAAAGTAACAGGAATGATATTTAATCCATACAGGCATGTGTTCTTTTCTCTACTGGAGACGCAAATACCTACAAGTATTTAGTTCAATAATACATGAAATACTAACAAACAGCTTCTTTTGAGCCTGAAAAGACATCTACCCAGCCCCCCAAACTTCCTAGAAAAATCCTCCTTCACTCTCTACTCCTAAGGTATAGACAAAGTGAACCCCACAGTCTCTCCACCTTTAAAGGTAATGCTTGTTTTGTTAGCAAGTACACTGTATTCCCATCACCCCAATAGTCTATGGTGGGGGATGGGTCAAGGAGAGTCAATGAGCTACCATAAGATTTCTGTAGAGCATCTGGAAAAATAATTCTTGTTCTTTCTCATGATAGGAGGATGAAAGATTTTTGCCATCTTTGACATTAAGGGAGAGCTTGAGAACAGAGGCAACAGCAAGGAAAAGGTGCTGACATGGATATCTGAGGAAGAATCTCTGAGCCTGAGCCACGTGTCCCTGCAGCTTCTCCACACATGGACTTTTCCCAAATAGGTGCCAAAAACCACCTCTTTGCTTAAGTCATAAAGGGTTGGGTTTCCTATTATTTGTAGTCAAACATGACCAATACCATTGCCTATTATCTTAAAAGTGATCATGGTTTACTCTGGCTCAGGACACATCCTCTCATCGTGAGGGTACCTGCATATTCATTCATCTATTGCCTAAGCAGTCTATTTGTTCATGGAAAGTTGTCCCCTCTGATCAGAAACCCAGGCCTAGGCCAATCGGGGGCACAGTATTTCTTTATCCTAGGGGCTGACTCAGAAGTGGGTCCAGAACTCCATTTGAGCTGATAGATTGACTGGATAAAAAGGCCAAGGCAACATATTTCCTCAACCTTAAATTAATGCCACCAAAAGAAGCAGTGTTTTTCTCTCTCTGATCACTGATAAGCACAGATACGAAGCCTAAACTGCTAGCTCCATTGTTTCCAGCCAGAGTAGGGGCCTGATGAGCAGTTCCTGATTTCAGAGCCCAAAATGGGCCCTTTCAGGGACATAAGCTAAAAACATTCTTTACGGTTTAAGTCAACAGATTTCCTGTTACTTGTAATAGAAAATCATGTGTGTTATATTAAAATTTAAAAATTTTAAAGTTTTAAATATATTATCTTTAAATATAACTTTACTCCATGGAGAAACTTTAATTTTTGAGAACTTTGTTATGAAATAAAAGTCCACCACTTAAAATTTACATTCTTACAATCTAAAAATCTTGGGATAGATATAGTCAATTTGTCCTCTGGACAATTAGCATGAAATAGTTAATTTTTCATATTTCACAGTATATTTCTGCCTAATGTTTCATGTTTCAAAAATCTTGCACATGGGGCCAAATGACACTCCCCGTGACTCAACAGTATATAAAACCTAAAATAGAATATTACAGAGGATTTTTTCCCCTAAATTTTCTGAAAAAATTTCCCCAGTGTCTTTAAGCGTTTGGTCTCACTAAAAATCAGTAAACCAATATAACAGAATGAGTTCACTGTATTTGTGCTTGTGATTTGCTATCATATACCTAAAATACATAACTGCATGCATTTTGATAATGAAGATAGCCTTTAGTGAACAAATGCTTTAAGCTAGGCTTCATTTAAAAATAGAATCTAGAAAACTGGAGATCTCCATGATTTCTAGGACTGCTAAATCATCTAAAAGCCTTGGCAGATGTCTGTTCTGCCTGTTCTGTTTAGGTGAGGCAGAGGATGGGACATCACAGCTCAGGAAACTCAGGGAATCTGTAAGACCAAGCTCAACCGGGGGACACACATGAAGTTCAAAGCAGGAGAAATAGGGCCTTAGCTGGCTTTGAAGCAGGAAGCGAGAATGAAGTAACCCATTTAAGTGTCCTGTGTGTAGTGATGAGGTAGGAGCTCTGCAGGTCTCACATAGGATATAGTAAGGCCAGAGGAAAGAGCTGGTAGATTTATCTGCTACAGGGCTTACTTTTGTCTTTATTATCTTAAGCATATCAGTCATACTATTTTAGCCTTACCACATATACAGTGTAGTACAGAGCTGTATGCTATTTAATTATTTTTGCAGTGCTACCTTAACCTCTGTTCTCACAATCAGCTTGCACTGTTTTATATACCCATTTATTCATTATTATTTCAGATACCCATTTATTCCCAAGAACAACTCCTTAAGACAGTTTTTCGTCCCCCCACCCTCCCCTTTGACTAGGACACTGCAGGTGTGAAGGAGCTGCTTAAGAGCCCATAGAAAGAGAACAGGGAATAGGGACTCAAAGCCAGGCCTCATGCCAGAGTTCATGCCCTCATTCTGCTTTAGTGTGAAAATACAGACACAGAGCTCTAGATAACCTCCAGAAGAAATGAGCCCAGGCTTCCCTCACCTGTAAGACTGGGTTGGCGATGGCTACAAGAATCTCCCACCTGGTCTGGAGACAGTTCTGCTGCAGGCTGCCAACCTCGAAATTGTACAGAAGTGGGCACAGTAGGAATGGGTGACAGTTTCTCCCTCCACGTTGGTCCATCCAAGTCCATTAAAATTCTTGTTATTCTAAAAAAAACATAAGTTTTTTCTCTTATTCATGAAATCTGCTTTTTTTTTTTTTAATTAGTGGAGGTCTTCTCAAGGGTAAGATTTATAAATACTGTCCAACCCTGTAGAAAACATAATCTTGAGCCATTTTTTGTCACATAAACTGTCCTCAAAAGCACTTTTAAAAGTTGCCATAAACAATGCAACTTTAGGTTCCTTTTGTGTCAGAAGAAGAAGTTTAGACATTTATAACTGGGTTAAGAACTTTTCAAATGTTTAGATTTGAATTTTTGAAAAAGTTATTATGTAAAACTAAAATTTAGAAGAAATATACCACATAACATTTGCTTTAATTACTGCAATGATAACAGATTACCCTTGAGAACAATCAGAAGTACTTTAGAATTTCTATGTGCATAAATGTATATTGTTGCATCTTCTGTACATAGAAATAATAATTGTCCTTCAAAAAGGAAAGATGCCTATGCCTTCGCTCTAAGCTAAAACAAGTATATACAGCAGGATGCTAACTCTGCTAGGCCTTAGCTGTCATGTGGAATACTGCTTTTTCTTTAAACATTTACATGTGGCTAAGATACTATTTATTTTCCCATTTCTAACAATGCCCACTTATTCTGTTTTCATCTGAATAAAGATGAAAAAACAAGATATCAGATTCTGCTCTGAGGGCCCCTCTACTAATGGTATTTACTGATGGCCATCAGAAAATTCAGATTAACATCCTCAATTACCATTCTCATCATTTTAAATACAAAAAGTAACAAATGTAGATTTAAAAATAAAAAATTGAGTTATGTCTTTAAGATAAATCTCATTTTAAAAAGATGTACCCAAGGCTAAAGTTTATAAATTAGTAAAATGCATTGAAGTTAGTTAAACTGTAATTTGTAAGTGGAAAAAAAAAACCATATAGACAAATATATAATAACATACTTTCCTTACAGTTTCTAAAACAGAAATTTCAATAGCAATCTTTGGTTTTGATAACCAAGTCTCACATATTCAACATAGAAAAATTTTAAAATTAGTATGTCACAACCCATAACTGCAGAAGAAAAAAGTTTTAAAGAATAGAATTTTCAAGCAAAACTTGAATTACCAGCAGAGAGGAAGGAAGAAGCAGCTGAAAAGAGATGATGTGTTGCCAGGGAGTGAATAAGTATATGCAGGGAAATGTAATATATAAGATTCCTAGAGAGGAAGAGAGGAATATGGTTAATGGAAGACAGAAAATAAATACAGATGTTTAAATTAAAAAACAAAACAAGCAGCAGTTGCTTAGAAGGGAAAGCAAACATAATAATGAGATTCATAAAGAAAGAAAAGTTTTAAGTGAGTATTTCATAAAAAATACATATGGTAAAACCAAAGTCTCTTCATCTTCTTCCAAATATCAGTGAGAAGCATTTAAAAGTGAAAAGTCTTAAAAATAAATTTGTGTAAAAGAATATTTTGAGTATATATAAAAAACAAACAAAAACTAAACAAGATCCAGCAATCATACTCCAAGATATACCACAAACGAACGGACCCCAGGTATACATGCAAAAACTTGTATGAATGTATAGACAGAAAGTGTTAAAAACTCAAATGTCCATCAACTGGTGGAGAGCTAAACAAAATGTGATGTATGCGTACAAGGGATTATTAGTCAGCCATAGAAAGTTATAAAGTACTCACGTAATCTTACACCATGGATGAGCCCTGAAAACGTTATGTTAATTAAAACAAGCCAAATACAAAAGGTATATAGTGTAAGAGTCCACATATCTAAACTATCAAAAGTAGTTAAATACAGATTCAGAAAGCAAATTAGAGCTTGCCAGGGGGTGAGAAAGGCAAAATGAGGAGTAACTGCTCAATGGGGTTGGGGTTTTGATTAATGAAATGTTTTAGAACAGTTGACCGCTAAACAATTCATGGACTTGGTAACCTTGACCCCCCCCCAAACTTAACTAGTAATAATAGCCTCTTGATAATGGAAGCTTTATCAGCAACATGAACAATTAACACATTTTATATGCTATATTCTTAGAGTAAAGCAAGTTACAGAAGAAAAAATGTTACCAAGAAAACCATAAGACAAAATATATTGTACTAGTTCTATATCAATAACATAAGTTTACTTCATGTTTACAAGATGAATCATCTGTCAGTATCTATGACTGATATAACTGATGATGGTATATTGAGTAATTCAACTTTTTCTTCAATGTCATGATTTTTCTGTATCTTGGAAGCACTTCTGCATCTCTAGGGGTGCACTGTCTAACTAGTGGCTTTCTTCCAGGTTCACAGCTTTACTCTAAGCACAATGAGAACTGCAGGAGGTCACCTTTTACTACAGTGTGAGGTGAATGGCTCCCACAGAGATGATTAGCATAACAGGGCATTTTAAGTGGAGGTGCATAGTACTTGAGGTCACCACAACAGCAACAGGAAGTGCCCAGAGAGGTATTACAGAAGCATAGTCTGTTCTACAGCTCATTTTATAGTCTGTGGTTTAATGCCACATCTTTACATTTATTTACATTTCTCTAAACTGCAAATGGCTATGTATGGACTCTGTGTGTGCAGCTTTCATAAATTTTAACTTTTATAACAGATGTATTATTTATAGTCATAAACGGCAAAATAGTCTTCTATATAGCTACCTATCTCTATATATCTTATGTACTTATGACATATATAATACTGTTGTACCATTTTTCAGTATTCCTTAGCTATGTGACTTGTTTTTTTTTTCAAATTGCTGCAGGTCTCAAAAAATTGTTCCAACATGTTTTTAAACATCTACATATAAGTGGGCCCCTGAAGTGCGTCAACTGGAGCGAGGTGGTGGTGGCATGATGGTGTGAATGTACTAGAAGACCTCTATACCCTGCACACTTTAAAATGGGTAATTTTATGTTTTGTGCATTTTACTTCAATTATTTCTTTAAAAAAATATAACGCAGATGGTTCAGAAATGTGAGAAATCAAAGTCTTTTTTGCACAGAACTTCTTTCAAACCATTCTGCCTCTCAATACAAAAGGCTTTATAAAACACCTTTTCAATGGTGCCCCTCCTCTCCTGTCAGAATTTCAGGCATCTTTCCTCCTTGTTTTACAAGATCCTCTAGTACTATGAGAAGATCCTAGAACCCCAGCTAACTCAGACGCCATCTCAGATAGGATATGCAAACTGAAAAAGCAAAGTCCCAAAGCACAGGAGTGAACGTTGGTCCTCTCCCAGCTGGAGAATGCAATCATGCAACATGTTTCGTGGAGGGTATCTCCTAAACTTGGTAGAACAGCTACAAGAACAGCTACCATTTCTGATCTCAAGAAACTCCCAGCAGAGTGACAGAATTTTACAAAATGAGAGGAACAAAGAATATGGAAAATGGGTAATAACAGACGGTGTTCTGGAGGCACAGAGGAAGGAAACTTAGTGCACGTGTGGTGGGAGGGTGGGGTGGATGAGGAAAGTAGTCTCAGAGGGATGCAAGTCCACTCCCAAAAGATGACAGGAAATTACTGGACAAAAAGGGCCTGGGGGCGCCTAGAAGAAGGCTGCAGGTGACAGACAGTGTCACAAATACTGAAAGTCTATGCGTTTCTGCAGTACAAGAGATGTATAACCTGTGCAACTAACAAAAAATAGACTATTTACTGAACGGTATTAAATGGATGAGGAAACAAACATAAAGGTGCTGAGGACAAATGAAAGTATATTAAGGGATAGCCAGAAATTCAGAGAGACGATTAATTTTAATGGTGTGAAAGAAGGTAACGATTCATGTACAGTGAATAGCTGAGAATGTGTGAATACTCTTGAAGAGAAATAAAAGCAATCCAATTCCATTATAAAACAACTAGAACTGAGCAGTGGTTGCCTCGGATTAAGTTACCTGTTAATACTGTCATTTGCTATCTGGACTCCGTAGTCTATCTGCAACACTATCTTATAATCCACATAAGCCTTCCGATACTGCTCTAAAGTTTCATAGGCCGTTGCTCGTCGTAGGAGAGGTTTGAGTGAAAATGGATGAAGTTCCAGAGAGCTAAAAAAGACAAAAATTATTACAAAGCATTTATTTTGAATCTTACTCTTGAACTTATACTACAGAATGTTCAATACCACACAGGACTCTCATGTAACATACATGTCTGATATTTCATCTGGGGACCTGGTGACACAGCAGAAAGGAAAACCCTGAGTAGCAAGATGACCAATTGTGGTTACTTTCTTCCTTTAAAAACTGTGCCAAAGCACCCTCCCCCGCCCCCAGGCTAAGCTCCTCAGCTGTAGGCAGAGGGCCTCATTCTCCCCTTTCTCTTCCAGCCTCCCCTCAGAAGATTCTCTAAGCCGTCCCCTTCCCAGGTAGGGGTCCTTCCACCTCCCCAGGCCCCCTCCCTGCCTTCAGTAACCTCTTCTTTCAGATGCCCTCACAGCCCAGCACGGAACCAGAGTAAGCTTTCAACTGGTTCTTACTGATGATGAATTAACAGGAAAATTCTATTTGCACCAGTGTCGTCAGTAAGGTACTTAAAGAACCACAAAACTTGAATTACATTTGGGAAATCAGCTCTCTGAAAGATAAGTTTGTTGTGATTTAGTTGGTACCAAAGGGCTTCAAAATAGACGAGGGAATCAAGAAACCAAGCATACTATCATTTTTTTGTAAGTAGTGAATTTTCATCTTGCATTGCAGTATGCTCAGTCCCTACAGATGAATGTCAAGTTATGTTCCCTGGTTTCTGTTTGAAGTGACTATTTAAAGTAGTTTCACAAATGAATGCACTCCATTATATTCGGAAGTAAAGCATACAACCAAAAGATTGTGTTTACAAATGAAAACCACTGTACTGTCTTACAAAATGAACTGAAACCATAAAACAGTGCTCCATGCAGATCTCTGATGAAGAGTGAACTTTCTACAAACCCACTAGGGAGGGGCTGCATTCTGGGGTGTGTTCTCCTTGGTAACACTTATGCTACCAGCAGTTCACAGAGCAGATATTTAACTTGCAAAGACTGAGGGCTGTTCTACTGGTTTGTCCCAATAGTCATTGAGATCTGCTGCCCCCTCCTGTGTTCAATGATCTGGCCAAAGAAAAGCAGGACAGAGCAACAGCTATATGCAGAGGTCACTGAAACGTTCTCATTTAAGCTTACAGCCCTACAAGGTAAATATTTCATTTTGTTCATTTTGCAGATGAGGGCACTGAAAGACACATGGGATCATCTGTTCGCATGGCAGCTGTTTGAATCTCAGGTTCAGGAAGCAAAAGCGTCACCTGCCTTACCACAGCATCCCCAATGCCTACATCAGCAGCACAGGGGTGCTCAGTGTAACTCCTCAGTGTCTGGCTCCTGCTACCATTTGCCTGGTAATCAGAGTAATGGAATATTAAACTCTCCAAGGAGCAAAGATAATTAACTGAAAAACTAAAAAACAGGCTTCCTTTAAAATGTATGCTTTCTTAAGGTGAATAGCATCTCCAACCATATTTCTGCTAATAAAGTATTCCCAACTCACACAAAATTAAGTACATCCATATTTCAACATATTTGGAAAAACAAATCATGGTTTCTCTAGCACTAAAATGCGCTGAGAATCACTGCTTTGGAACAGTCACCCATGCCCCTTAAGCTGGGAAGCATTCTGTCAGTTATCAAAGAAAACATCTAAGTAGGTCGATCTCTATGGAGGTCAGTATTGACCAGCTGAGCTGGATTCCTTGGCCTAGAACACAACTCTCACCTACATGCAGTCCATTTCCCTCCCACGAAGACTGTCTCCTGCTCTCCCCCAGGACAAACCCTCTTTCTAGCCTCCAGGGATGTCATGGGTGGAGTCCCATCTCTGGCTTCCTTCTGGGTCTACCCTGGAACCTGATGAATTTTAGGCAGAAGTGTCTGCCACCTTATACCATGTTCTATTTAAGTACTAAGAGAGTGCACTGTTTTGCAGAAGCTCTAACAATAGGGTTCAAATTTTTTAACAAAGGAGTCCTGAGCTGCTCACTAAATCTGACACAAGTTAGTTAGATCTAGTTAGATCTAGAGCTTAACAACAGATATTACAGCTGAGAGGGTCTTGGCTGCCAATCACCCACCACACGCCTGGTCCCCTACAAATTCACTTGGTCTTGTTGGCCAGACATGGGCGGTAGTAAATGATTCGCAATCTGCTCTCCTGATGAAAAAAAGAGCCCAGATTTGTTCCATTTGACTATTTTCATGATCTAATTTAATTAGTACTCAGACAGACCATGGAAGGCCTAAGCCACCAATTATAGCTACTGTCAGCCCACAATACGGTGCATGGGGTCCAAAGTCAGCAAAAGCAAACAAATACTCATTTTAAATCTGAATATGTAAAATGGGTCAAGCACTTTCAAGGCCTTTTGAACTGTAAGGCACAGATACAGGCAAGTTTTACCCATATCAATAAACTAACACAATGGGAAAAAAATACCATTCACTTTATAATAGGATGTCCACATAAGATTTTGTCTAAATTAGGGATTCTGAGAGTGGAAGGAGTACCATGAATAATTCTACCAGACAAAAGAGTAAACCAAGACTGGGTAGTCAAACCAGGACATACAACTTTCCAGCCACTGGACAGGGGGTTTGAAAGCCTGAACAAAACACTGCTCCAGGGAAAGTTACGCTGATGCAACAAGAGACTGGAGGAGGTAGAGCCCGGAGGGCTTCTCTAGCAGGCTGGAAGAGACAGGAAAAGAACCTGAAATAAGGTGGGAGCCGTGGAACTGAAAAACCATTTGCACTCTCTTCTCCGTCTTGATCTGTGTCGAAGAATTTGAGATTTTAAAGTACTGATCTACCTTAAAACTGTTTTTAAGAAATTAAACTCATGCAGAAAAGTTTGAACACTGCCTTTATCACGTTGTAATCACAATAATCTCTTGACAAACCTGAATAAGGGCAGGTTACCTGTTACAATCCTTAATACAGTCACTGCAGTTTCCTTCTTTCAGGCAACAGGCTGCTCTATTTGAATATAAGATACTCAGCTCCTCTGCATTTACACTTCCTAGAATCAGAGTTAGTCAAACAGTTAGCATCTATGAGCAACATCACAGTTGACCAGAATCACTGGGCGACGGGGTCTCCGATGGCACTGGGTCCTCCAGGCTGTGGTCACGCGGGCGCCAGCAGTGGCCGGCAGGGAAGGCAGGGGCCGCGACTAAACGC